AAGAATAGGTCCCCGAGGGCCACCTCACTGAGCACTAAGTCCCATCAAATCACCAGGTATTTCGTACCTATTGCTGTTAGAACTATAATCCCCTAAGGAAAACACTTGTGCTTCCTCTCTGCCCAGCACTGACCACAGCTCTGCACAGCCTGATCCAGCCAGATCTAGCAACACCAATTCTCTACAGCCGTAGGGTCAGGGCCAAGGGATAAAGCAGGGTGGGCTCAAGACCAGGACTGGTACCTGAAAACACACATTCATAATACAAACCTGAGGCCTAGCATTTAGCTTCCGAGACTCTGGTTTCCCAGACACAAGGGATCAATCAAATCGCAGTTTATAGTCTGTCTCCCTAAGAGAGTCTCATTAAATCTGCAAGTGGCCCTGGGTGACAGGGACTCTATTCCCTGCAGGCCAAACTCAAAGGAAACTTTGCTCCATGGGGACAGGTACTTAGAGGAATGGTGCTGAACTCCTGAAAACCCATTTGGTTTTGATCCCCCCAGAACAGGGCCCCATCCACCCAATGTTCCGCTTTCATCCCTGTACCCCAGCCGGACGTAAATCTAAACCAGAGACCCCAGACGGTGCATTTAACAGAGACTATATTTACCCATCACCAAATTGTCTTGACATGTGCTTAATTACTTAAATGCCTTTAATCCCAAGCCTTTTCTTCTAACAAAATATAAACCAGTTCAGCTGGATGAATGATAAACCAGATGTTTACAACACACAACATGGTCTGGCTTCGGTCAAAATAATTAAGACATCGTCTCCTGAGTGGGGAGGGGAGATGCCCAGAGCATACATTTGTGTAAATGCTCTGACACCAAAATGTCTATGAAAATGTAGCTCCATCAATCTGTATTTTTCTGTCCATGAAAAGGCAACAACAACTTCCATATGAAGGAGCAGGAAAGGTGTCTGGCCTCCTCTGATGCGATCAAGGAAGCTTAGGTTTCTCTCCATGGTAAAGTGCACTTTAAAGGCATTCCATGATGGGGTAAACTCCCAGGGCCCTGACAGCTGACCTTATGCTATGATTAAGGAGGCCTCATGGGGCTGGGCCAAGTTTGTGATCGCTCACATGCTACCACCACCATGTAGAACCCAAACTCACAAATATATTTAGACTGTGAACATCATGTGTGCATTAGTCCATAACCCCTAGCTTCCATGGGGTAAATAAGAGAGAAATTCCCTGTCCACATCTTTGTCAATGGTCTCTATTGATATCCCCACCCTGAATTTTCCTAATGTGAGTGTGTCATTTGTTCCTGTTGGAACCCTGATTCTCTGGAGTGGCCCCCATCATGTCTTTTGTATTATTTGCTTTCTTTGCATGTATCTCATATGCCAGACAGCCATGGGGCTTATGTTCTCTTCTGATATATTACCTCAAAAGTAAGCCTAATAAAGGCAAGGATTGATATCTGATGTGTCTATTTGATTCACTACTCTATTCTCTAGTTCTAGAATATGAGTGACACATAGTAGGTGCTCAATAAATATTTGTT